ACATGTGACGTGATATGCTGACGACATGACAAGCCTCTGAAAGCTTTCGCCGCTGTCTTTGCGGGAATATGATGCTTCGAGGTAGTTAAAGCACGATGTAGCACGTCTTTTAATTCATTAAGAAATATGACTTGATATCTCAGCTGCTGACAACGTGAAAAGCCTCTGAAAGCGTTTGCAGTGATCGCTGCGTCAAAACGATGCTTCTAGGTAGTTAAAACACGATGTAGCGCGTCTATTTAATTCATTAAAGAATATGACTTGATATCGCAGCTGATGACAACGTGAAAGCCCATGAAAGCGTTTGCAGTGATCGCTGCGTCAAAATAATGCTTCTAGGTAGTTAACGCACGATGTAGAACGTCTATTAATTCTTCAAAATACATGTGACATGATATCGCAGCTGCTGACGACATGACAAGCCTCTCAATGAGTTTGCAGTGGTCGCTGCGTCAAAATGATGCTTCTAGGTAGTTAAAGCACGATGTAGCAAGTCTTTTAATTTTTGAAAAAACATGTGACATGATATGCTGACGACATGACAAGCCTCTGAAAGCGTTCGCCGCTGTCGTTGCGTCAAAATGATGCTTCGAGGTAGTTAAAGCACGATGTAGCACGTCTTTTAATTCTTTAAAAACATGTGACATGATATGCTGACGACAGGACAAGCCTCTGAAAGCGTTCGCCGCTGTCGTTGCGTCAAAATGATGCTTCTAGGTAGTTAAAGCACGGTGTAGCACGTCTTTTAATTCATTAAAGAATATGACTTGATATCGCAGCTGCTGACAACCATAAAAGCCTCTGAAAGCGTTTGCAGTGATCGCTGCGCCAAAATGATGCTTCTAGGTAGTTAAGGCACGATGTAGCACGTCTATAAATACTTCAGAAACTTGCTCCTTGCCATTCGTAGCTTTTGACGACATGACAAACTTCTGAAAGCCGTTGCCGGTTTGCTGCGTCAAAATGATGCGTCTAGATAGTTGAAGCACGACTTCAAAGAATATTTGATATGATATGACAGCTGCTGATATCGTGACGAACCTTTGAAAGCGTTTGCAGTGATTGCTGCGTCAAAATGATGCTTCTAGGTAGTTAAAGCACGATGTAGCACGGCTTTTAGTTCATTAAAAACATGTGACATGATATGCTGACGACATGACAAGCCTCTGAAAGCGTTCGCCGCTGTCGTTGCGTCAAAATGATGCTTCGATGTAGTTAAAGCACGATGTAGCACGGCTTTTAATTCATTAAAAAATATGACTTGATATCGCAGCTGCTGACAACGTGAAAAGCCTCTGAAAGCGTTTACAGTGATCGCTGCGTCAAAACGATGCTTCTAGGTAGTTAAAGCACGATGTAGCACGTCTATTAAATTCATTAAAGAATATGACTTGATATCGCAGCTGTTGACAACCATAAAAGCCTCTGAAAGCGTTTGCAGTGATCGCGCGTCAAAATGATGCTTCTAGGTAGTTAAAGCACAATGTAGCACGTTTTAAATACTTTAAAAAACATGTGATATGATATCGCAGCTGCTGACGACGTGACAAACCTATGAAAGGGTTAGTAGTTGTCGCAGCGTCAAAATGATGGTTCTAGGTAGTTAAAGCGGATTTATCTTGTCTTTAGATACTTTAAAAACATGTGAGATGATATCGCAGCTGCTGAGGATGTGACGAACCTCTGAAAGCGGTTGCCGTTGTTGCTGCGTCAAAATGATGAGTCTCTGTACCGGATTACAGGTACCCTGATAACAGGGTTGTCTATCACACAAGATGTGCATGGTGTGACAGCACCCAAATACGAATACGATTTGTGGCTAGGGAGCCAGTAGCTACGCATATTCTGATTTTCCTAGAGTAAAATCTAAACTTTTATAATTATGATAAAAAGCAAAATTAAAAATCAGTTTATATTTTGAACAGAAGTGTTCTTTTGCCTTGGTAAGGCTTTTAAGTACTTTTAGAGGCAGCAAATCGCAATCCGCTGCACTAGGCGTATCGCTCATGCTTACAATATGCTCAACGCTGCCATCCTTAGGTCGGGGAAGTCATCCGTCACCGACGGTGGCGTCATAGACGCGAACGATGCAGACATCTTCTGCTGCAGGTGCTCTAGCAGCGCGTTTTCGTAACTCAAAA